TTTTCTCTGTATTTTTCCTTTAAAAAAAAAAATATATATATATATCAGAGCCTCGGAATCATATATATATGATTTCAGAGAGGAAGGGAGAGAAAAACATCAATGATGACAGAGAATCATTGATCAGCTGCCTCCTGCACACCCCCTACTGGATATCGAACCCAGGCACGTGCCCTTGGCAAGAATCGAACCTGGGACCCTTCTGTCCGCAGGATGATGCTCTATCCACTGAGCCAAACCAGCTGGGGCCAGCCTCTGATCTTTGTGACTCTCCTGCAACCAATCAATGACCCCCCAGCTCCAGGACCCTTCCTGGAGGTGATCAAGTTAACGGTCCTCCATGGGCTAGAGGAGACAACCCAGAGAACTTCTGAACAATGGTTTCCTTTATTTTCTTTTAAAAAAAGTTCTTATTGATTTCTTTTAGAGAGAGGAAGGGAGAGAGAGAGAGGGATAGAAACCGCGATGTGAGGGAAACATCATTGATTGGCTGCCTCCTGCGCGCCCGCTACTGGGGATCGAGCTCACAGCTCGGGCATGTGCCCTGACCAGGAATCGAACCCATGACCTTTTAATTCATAAGTTGATGTTCAACCGCTGAGTCACACCGGCTGGGCTCCTTTATTTTCTATGACTTAAAAATACTAGTTCCCAAATCCTTGCACATCAATAGAAGACAGAGTTACAAACCAAAGGAAAGGAAGAGGGAAAAAGGCATTTCCCCTGCCTCTAGCAGAGGGAACTGACAGTCTTCCTAACAGCTCTCTCAGTGTTCATTCCGATGTTATTAGTGGGAAGTCATTGTTGGCACATGGAAGGATAAACCTGTATTTTGAAATCCCCTTTCCAGTTATTGCTTAGAGAAAGCAAGAAGCAAGTAAGGTCTCTGATCTGAAATGTAGGACAAAGGAAGTCAGATCCTGGGAAACACTTAAAAGCAAGTAGAAATGACAGCCCCGCAGTGCTCTCCTGGGAGGAAGGGAAGCTGCCCCCCACACTTGGGCTTCCTAGAAACTTTGAGACGTAAGAAACACATGACAGAAAGTACGCAGGGGCCGGGGAGGTTTTGCCTGATATTTGCACCAAGAATTTAGGGCCTGCAACGTGCAGGAGGCACGCTTTTTGCATTGGCCATTTTAGTATTCATGTCTCCTGCACTGCTTTCTAATAAGTTAAGAATGAAACGGGAGACTGCGTGCAGGAGTGAGAACTGCAGGAAAAGCAGTCCCGTAAAATAGAAATGAATGAAAGTGCATCTGCACTTCCCGTCTATTCTCAACAGTCAGGAGAACAACAATGCCGATTTCATTGTTACTACTGAACACTTCACTTACAAAAGGACTTTTCACTCACTTGTACATGTTATTTTTCAATGCTTCTTCTGACAGAGACTGGGGAGCTTTGTCACTATTCTTGAGATTAATTTTATAATGTTTTATTAATGATGTTTCCAATGAGGAGGACAAAAATGCAGTCTGTGCCAGCACGTTACCAAAATAGTCTTTTCCGTGAGAGTAACTGTTCCTCTCGCTGTTCGGGTGGGTCACACCACTGGTTAGCTGATTGTTGAATTTTGTTTTCTTTATATTATATAGTCCTATTTTTTTTCATTTCTATTCACCTCCACTCCATTCGATTATCTAACTGTTTATTATTACCATAGTGTTTCTAAGACATAAGTAACATAATGGGATCAGACTTAAGGGAAATGATGGCTGGCCTTCCTTTTAATCCTATTCTGTCTGTGGACAGCACAGCTCCCGCAGTGGCGTTGGGCTCGCCTCTTTCTAAGGGAGCATGTCTGTGCGACAGGCTGTGAAATGCTTGCTCAGGCCAAGTGGGCAGAGGACCCTAAGATTCCGAGGCCCTAGCTAACCTCGGGGTTTGGGGTTTTGCTTGTTAGCGTATTTGTTAGTTTATATGGAGCCGGTCATTCAATCACTCAGCCGACCCCAAACCAGGAACTGGCTCCCTCGCCTCCCTGCCAATTAGCGAAGCAGTTGTTCCGGGTCAAAGGTGAGGCAGCGGGAAGCTCTGCTATCCTAGTGCGTCTCTGGATTTGGGGAGAACTGGGCTATTTTCTTATTCCAATGAGAAACATTTCTTCATTTATCACTAGATGGCCCAAATAGTGTGGAAATCTTTCATTATTTAGTCAACGTAGTCAAATCCAATGCCTTAATTAAAAAATACTCAAATCCACAGCAGAAATCACCCAGATAAACGGTCTATATTTCTCCAACAAACCTGAAAAATATGCCTTCACGTGGGGCCCCGCAGTCACAGCCCAGCAGGTAATAAACTCTATTTTTTCACGTAGAAGTCACCGGGCAATAAAGAGTCTGACTAGAGTAGACATTTATTCCGAAGCTATGGTTGTGCCCGAGTCTAGGAAAAAGTTCAAGATCTTTGAATCTGTTCACATGTAAGAACTTCCCTGTACATGAATGTCTATGTCCTTCCATGTCAGATGTGGTGCATGGAGCCACAGATACTCAGTTATTTTTACTCCTTAGTAGGTACAGGAAAACGATAGAAAACAGGCTCCCTGCCCCGGCGCAGCGAGGCCCGTGTGTGTCTGTGGTCTTCTCCTCTCTCTGTGGAGAGCTGGAGTGGACGGTGCCTCTAAGGCAGGAGGTTCTGTGGGTCCTCGTGCTAATATTGCTGGTGCTGTTACAATCATAGCAACATACCTGCAGGCATTGAGTTCATGCTATGAGCTAGGTCAGTGGTCGGCAAACTGCGGCTCGTGAGCCACATGAGGCTCTTTGGCCCCTTGAGTGTGGCCACGAAGTTTCAATCACACTGTATGTGCGCGCCCGCACGTGGTATTTTGTGGAAGAGCCACACTCAAGGGGCCGCAGTTTGCCGACCACTGAGCTAGGTGATTTACAAAATCACGTTTTATTGAAAAAACACGCAACTTGTGATGATCTAATGAAGCACCCATGACTCAAGATGTAGGTGTGACTTGCTGAAAGGTCATAGACATGAGTTTGAACCCAGGCGTGACTGCATCAAGTTCATACTTTCTTAGTGCATCCCTCTAAGTTGGGAGTTATGTCAGGCAATGTAAAACACTTGAGTAGGGTGACTACATGTTCCAGTCCATACCTGCTCTCCCAGTGTAATGAACAGATCCCCATTTCATGCTCTAAGCCGGGGTGGGGAACGGCCGGCCTGCAGGCTATATTTGGTCAGGCCCTACCAAGGCATGAGGGGTGAGCTAATTAAATGTTTGACCAAATCCAGCAGGCTAATGTGTAAGGTGGTAGTTCCGTATGGCCCTCGAGTGCTGTTATAAATATCCAGATGGCCCTTGGCAGGAAAAGGCTCCCCACCCTGATCTATAGTGTCCCAGTTTGGACAATAAGCTGGGTGATCACCCATCTCAGAACATGGTTCAAAATGGACACAGACTTTTCTGAGGTGTCGTTCATACAATGTTACTGAATTGTTTTGCCTTTAATGAAGGCCTTCAAACAAATAGCCCCTTGGACCTGGCCTGGCACGTTTGGGGAAACAGATGTCATTCACTGCAGGGTCTAATCTTCCCCATCCCTCAGCCTGCTTCTCTAGCAGCTCTCTTTCAGACCCTTTGTCCTCCTCGCTCCTTCTCCTAGTTCTGTCTCCTGGTGTGTAGGCTTTCTCTATTGGTCAAGTGTTACAAGATGAATTTAGTTTTACTTTAGCTTGACTTTGGCCATGCATTTACACATATTTAAGTCACCGTTTTTGTCAAAAAGAGATTCAACACCATTTTAAGGCATCTCTTAGCTTTCTTTCTTTCATCCCCTTAATCTCGCTGTTGCTATTCCGCCACTTCTTGACTGCAACCGTGTGGCTGTGTGGCTGGGTGTCGGGGAGCTTCCTGTCTCAGACCCCGGACAAGGCCACTGCAGGCTCTGCGGGGTGGGGGTGGGGTAGGGTGGGGTGGGGGAGCGGGCTCCGAAATGCATTATTTCAAGCCCCGCCTCACATGTCTTTGATCCTCATCTGCTTTGTGGGCAAACTGCTGTCCCGTTTCCACTATTTTAAAGAACTTGCAGTAAAAGGAAATGATTTTTTAAAAAAACTGATAGAATATATAGCTGCTTAAAGGTACACAAGATACATGCAGCAAGAAAGCCTACCTCTCACTTTTGTTGGTTTTAAATGTATGGCTTTGATTTATGGATCAAAACTGCCCCTTCGTTATTTTATCTCCCGGCTCTGGGCAGTGCTGACAGCTAGAATGTGGTTTTATTGACCAGTGCAGCCGCTGTGCCCGCGAGGGGCCTGTGCCCACAGCCTGCTGCGCTCGGAAGCAATGAGCTTGATTCCATGACTGTGTCAGATGGGGAATCGTAGCCGATACAACAATAAGTTCCAGATCCCAGTGCCCAAGGCAAGAGGTTTGCTGTAAAACACAATCGCCCTTAAGGAGGGAGGGCTAGGACCTTGGGTGGAAGTTTGAAGGCGCAAGTTCATGGGCTTTGGGCTGCGACCACAGCTGTCCATCAAAACTGGGGAGCGACAGAGGGGGGTGTTTCTCTAAAGACCCAGTGCCCCAAACTAAAGATTAATGAGCAAAATGCCTAAAAAGCAAAAGGAATGAGACAGTGACTGAGACAATGAACTGAACGACCAATCTGATGCGAGAAAATTTCCTTCGTGCTATTCGCCAACCTTTCACTTCCCGATGAACAAAACGTCACTGCAGAGTTTCATTTGGAAGATCGGGGTGACCTCCCCCTCCGCCTCAGCGCAGACAGAGACACAAATGCTGGTGGTGATGTCAGGCCAGTTTTAACTTAGGCCCCCTCGGCTCGACTACCTCCGTGGCCACCTGCGCAGTGTTCATTTAGTCTTTGACTCCAAACCCCCAGTGCTCTATACACAGACGTCCGGAGGGTAACAAATCAATAACACGTCTACTTTGATTAGCCAGGGTTTCCAGTTCTCCAGACAGCCCTCACGTGAACCAACAGGCGGGGAAGTAAATAAGGAAGGGCACTCACTTGTGAGAATTTTCCACGTCTTCTTTTCGTCATCGTAGTACTGAACCAGGTTGCTGGGCAGGCGGTCCGGCCCGGGCGGCAGGCCTCCCACCAATAGCAGCATTTTCTTGTTCGAGCGAATTCTTCACCCAAAACAAAAGGAGATGAAGAAGCACGTTATTGCAGAGCCTTCTGAGTGGCAACGAAATCATAACCATCAGAAGAATGTTCCTTGCTGGCAGATTTCTATTTCAGTTTTTTCCTGTTTCTTCTCCCATTCGTGTCTCCACGATTTTTTTTTTTTTGAACCAAGCAGAAAAATGATCAGGAGAGAGGCATATCCCCATACTCACGGAATAATAAGCTCCCTTTATGCAATTTGTTAGAAGTTCATTCTAGAACGACCTTTTTCTTATATTATCCCTTTAAATCATCCCTCTTTACAGCTGAGTACACATGAAATGCTCTGGAGTTGTACTAAGGTTAAGCATTAAAGTTGCATGTCAAAAATCGTATTAGTCAAAATCATTATTATAAGCCATTCTCCACTCAAAGAACCTTGAAAAAATTAAGGTTATGCAGAGAGTTTGTGAGCCAACTCTTTAATCACCCGGGGAACTTAAAATACAAGTTTGGTACAATTAGTAGCACAGGGCTCACTGGGGTGGGTGAGCCAGTAGGATGGGGACTTTTTATTTGTGTAACTTAGCTGAGCCTTTACCCCTTCCCAGCGCCCCCTCCCCTCTCTGCCCCGCCTGCCACCCCATCCCCGGGCACTGCTGGCGACACAGCAGCACCAATCGGTGGAAATGAGACTGCAGGGTTGTTTGGAGCCTCCCCAGAGTGGAGCCCTGCCAGTGCTTGCCACTGCTCCAGCGGCAGGAACCTGCTCAGCTGTGCAAAGTCACTCTAATTCCCTCCCTCTGTTTTCCTACCTTCTCCCCCAGGGGGCAACCACGGAAAGGAGTGACTACCCACCCATCAAGAGCTGGCAATTCGCTGCTATTCACCGTGACTGCGATTCCCAGTCTGCCCGGCAGTTCCTGAGAGCAGGCCTGCCACATCTCAGATGCAGTAAAAGCCGTAAGAGGCACCCTGGCCGGCAGACACGGCCTGATGGATGGATGCACATCCTGGGGAGCAGGAATGGGCTGAGCACACTTGCGAGTGGAGCGGGGAGGGGAGGCCCAGACCCCTACAAGGGGCCTGCTGGTTTAAGGGGCGCTTTACATATAATTGACCTTTTCATCCACCTGAAAGGCTGAAGGTGTTGGTGAGAGAAACAGAAACCAGGAGGGAAGGAAAAAGTCAATAAATACAAAAGGGTTCCTCTTAAATACGATCCCAACCCGCAGGGTGGCTCTGATTCTATTGTTACATATTCGGCAGGTCGTTCAGATTCAAGGATGCTTGGAGAAGCATGCCCTTGTGGAGAAGCACTGTTTGTTGGTTAAGAACCTAACATTCGGAGAGTTAACTTAAAACAGTTAATGGTGTTTCCATGGGAAGGAAGGGAACAAGAGAATTCCTTTAATGAAACTCCGGTGCCATTGAATGCATCGTGTATGCCTCAGTAGGAAACATACGTCTGAAGAAACTTCTATTAGGAACTCATGGGTAGGAGGGGCCATGCTTATAGAAGAATGCCTAACATAGGACCAGCTTGCAATATTAATTTTGCCACAAACAAAAAATACCTCAACTTCTTTGAATTTAAAGTACTTTGGACTAGTGCCCTCACAGACCAGTAGTTGGGAGATGAAAATAATTCAATAGCAAAGAGCTCCGTATTCTGAGGGCTTCAATGATTGGGGTGGTTTGTCAGGAGGGGTTAAGGGAACTCAGTGTAGTAAGTATCTCATTTACTTTGAAGTGATACACACATAACTATGTATCATATAATCTCCTAAATGCTTGGTTACAGAACTAATATAAGACTTTTTTTTTTTTTACTATAGTTTTAGCTCAAATAAGCAGTGACTCTGTGAGAGAAGTCAAGATGATAAGAAATATTTTTTTTAGGTTGCTGTCAGTTACCACGTGTAGACAGACCTGTTCAACTGCAAGTCACGATTCTGTGGCCACTGTGACATCACACATGTATGTGCTGCCAGACACAGGTGAGGGCAGATGGACCAATATCTGCCAGTTAGACACAGAGGAAAGAACTCAATGAAGTGGTGGTGCCACCAGAGCAATATAATCTAATCCTTATCTTAATATTTAAATTAATATGCTGCTTTTAAAATGTGGTTCATGAGTGACAAAGGGAGATAACTACATGGCTCAAGTGTGTGTGTAAGGCCGTTTTATTCATTGATCAGGGCAACTTCCCTGGACCAATCCCACTGGTGATTTCCAACACCGACTTAAATGGACCATCTCTGCAGATGAAGACAGAATCTAGAGTCTTTGTCTTCTCTGCCCGAGTCATTACCATCTGTCCTCCAAGAACTGGACTGAGACTACCAATATGAAAGCCACCAAACAGTTGGCAAATGTAACCCCTATCCCACCAATCATGACATGATTCAAAGGGTTAGCTAGCATAGCAGCAAGGAAAGCTCTACACAGACCAGGATAAATCTCTAAACCATCCAGACCTCCCCAAGGAGCGTGAGGGGAATTACAGGAAGTAAGTAAGGAAGTCCCACCTGCCCTCTGCTGTGTTATCTGTAAGGACCAGGACTGTGAGTGCATTATGTGTGGACTTCTTCATGAGGGAAGACACACTCTACATCTTTGGCGTTGTTTTTATATCAGCACTCATTCGATTTCTTATGGCATTTTACTAGGAGGATTTTGTTTCTAAAACTTGTCACACAATTTTACAATCCCCTCTCGATGCTATTTAACTCTAAAGTTTAAAACTCTACCTTGTGAAGATGATCACATAGAAACCAAAAATAGGATAACATGTGAGAAGTAGCATAGTACAGAAGAAGGAAGACATAAAATAACAAACCACATTGGAGTATGTTTCTCACGATTTGCTCCGTAGACTCTCAAAATGGCCCTATGTGGTAGGTACAATAACTCCATTTTGCAGAGAGGCGAGTAAGTTCCCATAGTCAAACCAAGAGGCAGAAACAATGCCCAGACACTGTACCGGGCCAATGTCTTTTTGAAATTCAAATTTATGCCCGGCCAGTGTGGTTCAGTGGTTGAGCGTTGACCCATGAACTAAGAGGTCACTAGTTCGATTCCCAGTTAGGGCACATGCCCCCCTTGCAGGCTTGATCCCCAGTGGGGGGGCGTGCGGGAGGCAGCCAATCAATGTTTCTCTCTCATCAATGTTTCTATCTCCCTATCCCTCCCCCTTCCTCTCAAAAAATCAATAAAAACATTTTTTAAAAATTCAAATTCATTCTTTAAAATTTATTTTACTATAGCTTCTAATTTAGACCCAGATGACCCAGCTTCTAGTGCTAATTTTGCTATTCATCAGAGTGACTTTGTATAAATTGCTTGGTTTCTTGGAAACTATGTTTTCTTAGCTTTAAGTAGATGAATAAACTCTAGCCTTCCTGCTCAAAGGATTGAATGAGGATTGTATAAAACAGTGAACTGAAAAGTCCTGTGTAAACTCTAAAGTAAATTATTATTAACCAGTCTTTAGATATTGACAATATAATGTGGGCTTTATTTCAACATGCCAAATCTTATTAAGTAGTTAAAAAAGAAAAGTAATATTTTTCACTGAGATTCTTATTGAGTTTATGTGTACAAATGCAAGCTAATTAAGAGGACTTCATTACCCAGTTGTTATCTTATAATTATGTTCTTAGAAAATTATTACTTTAATTATATTGGCTATCTTTTGAGCCTTGTTATAAGAAAGTATGCATTTGGACATTACATAAAACTATGAACCTTCCTGGATCCAAATAAAGGAACCTAATAAGAGCATTTCTTAAGAACAAAACAAATGAGAAAAACCATCACATATTTTACATTGATGTAAGTGCAATGTCAACTATTCAATTACTCCTAGAAAGTAATACATGTGAATAATTCCTGTAGAAAAGCTTCCATTCTTTTTACAATTGCAATTATAATAGTGACAATGACAATAATGACAGGTAATAATGATGTGTATTGGATATTGAAAACTCTAATTATCATGCTATTTGTTTGATGTATGTGAAATTCAATTTGAAAGCACCATGAGAAAAAGGTACCTTGTGAACTAGAAAAGTAAAATTAGGAGAGTCTAAATTAACTTGCTAAAGTGGGTTTCAATTATTCTTTCCTAAATAATTCCAGCAGAGCCGTGCAGGTTTATTTTTAGATTCGGCAAAATCTACGAACATAGCACTACTGCCATAGGGTTCCTTCATATGGCAACACGGCATGCTTTTTAGAAGTCCTTTACATAGGGGGAGAAATTTAGCCAAAATTACTACGTTCTCTTCAAATGCACTAATATTTTTAAAATAATTCTTTTTGCTCATCATCTTAGCACCACTTTGACTAAAGTAATGTATGTAAAAGGTAAGGAATTAGATAAAACTAAATAGCTGAGTATGTCATGATGAATAATAATATTTGGATGCCTTTGATTTGAGTTCCTAGATTCGTGCATAGACAAATATAAGGTTAAAAAGGAGATGGAACCTGAGGCTCCCTTTGCTCCAGCTCAGTAATTGCCCAACATTTACCATGTGTCACATCTGCGCGTGTGTGCGTGCATATGTATGTGTGTTTACCCGTGCGCACACGCACTTTGGTTTCCTGGATGAGTGATTGAAGGATGACCTAAAACCTCCTGGTGTAAACAAATTTTTCATCATACTGGTTTTCTAAATGCAGCAAAGTCTCATTTATTTTTATTTCAGTGATTTGGAACCTTAATAATTGGGAAACCGGCCAGATGAAGTTTTTCTTTCCGTGATACATAAGTAAGTTTTCACTGACTACCAGTGGTTCTCAACCTTCCTAATGCCACGACCCTTTAATACAGTTCCTCATGTTGTGGTGACCCCCAACCATAAAATTATTTTCGTTGCTACTTCATCACTGTAATGTTGCTACTGTTATGAATCATAATGTAAATATCTGATATGCAGGATATATTTAGGTGACCCCTGTGAAAGGGTCGTTGACCCCCAAAGGGGTCGCGACCCACAGGTTGAGAACCGCT